TCCTGTCGGCGGCATTCATCTTGCATTTTATGGTTGTTTCATTTTTTTTCGTATATGTAAAGTACTGGCATCTTTTCTGGTGTTTTTTTTTTGAGTAATTATGTTCACAATTGATTTATTGGGGGTGCTAGTAGTAGCTGCTGTGAACAGCCCTGCTTTTAATACAATTTTTGGACGCACTTGACTGACTAGACATTATTACATGAGAGGGCTTCTAAATTTTTCTAGTAGAATGTTTTGGAACCTAACTGGACATTTTCTTGTACAATTTTGCAGTTTGTTCGGGATCATTTTGGCTTGCAGCCTTCCTCTCGAATGAGATAATAAGTGCATTGTGTTCAAAACACATGCTGCAAGCTTTGAGCGTCCTTGCTATCAGTTATGATGATTCTATCATTTCCAGTTGTACAAAACTTTCCGTTGATTAAATGAAAAATCATACCATTCTGTGCAAATGTTTTCCATCGGAAACTTGTGTGAAAAGATCATCGGAATGTGCATCTTTAGTTGGATGCTTTTATTCTGTCCAAAAGGACGCCTTAGGATATGTGGTCGACGAGCATTATGGTTGCCTTCTCAATAATTCCTTTTCCATAATCTCCTGCCTCAATTTCCGCGGTACCAATACAACCTGCTGCTTTTCATCAAACTCCTCGGACTATTGTAATGCGCATCTCCCCGTAAACAAACATCAGAATACCAGTGCCTTGTTTTTTCCACTCACATTTTTTGCCGTACTCTGCATTTTGCTGTTTATATTAGCCTTTGTGTATATCAAAGGGAACTTCAGCAAGCATGAGAAGCCCCTTACAAAGCATTCCTCTACTTATTTTCCCGAATTCACTGATAGTGGCAGCGGGTCGGGAAAGCCGTTCTTAGTTAGTCGAACCATTGCTCGTCAAACAATCCTTCTGGTATGTATCGGAAAGGGTCGATTCGGCGAAGTATGGCGAGCCGTCTGCAATGGCGAAGTTGTTGCTGTGAAGATCTTTTCCAGCCGTGATGGCGCCAGTTGGACCCGTGAAACTCAGATATATACCACTGCTCTCCTTTCTCACCGGAACATTCTCGCCTATTATGCCAGCGATATGATTTCACGCGGTGGATGTACTCAACTCTGGCTTGTTACCGCCTACCACGCTGCCGGTTCCCTGCACGATTTCCTTTCCACGGCAGAAGGTGTGACTCCGCAATGTGGACTCAAACTAGCCCGATCAATTGCTGCGGGTCTAGCCTTTCTCCACAGCGAAGTAGTTGGATTTCGTGGCAAACCGCCGATTGCCCATAGAGATATTAAATCTAAGAATATTCTGGTTATGGCTAACAATGAGGCCTGTTTGGCAGATTTTGGTCTCGCTCTGGTGAAAACTTCCAAAGGAATGAATGGTGAGGGGACCAGCGATGAGGCAAGTGAGAGCGGTGACGCTCTACCTCCCGCTAGCCTCTTCGCAGGAACCAAACGGTACATGGCTCCTGAGATATTGGCTCTTTATCCCTTGGTGTGGGGTGGCTGGGTGCGTGCGCGCACGCAGGAGAGGCAGATAGACGAGAAACAGTCTGGGGAGTGTGATGAAGACAATTTGTCCATTCCAGGGGAATTGTTAGAGTGCCGACATCCGCTGCTTTCTTTCGACGTCTATCTGTCCACAGATGTCTACGCACTGGGACTCGTTCTGTGGGAGATTTGGAGGCGTTGTACAGGCAAACAATACGAGGTGGGACCATCAACTTTCAGCTTTGTATATTTGTATTTTTGTTACCGTTTCTAGGTCTATTTTGATTCTTTAACTTGGCTTTTACTAACTGTGCAACGGTGCAAAAGTAAGTCTTTATTCGCCCTAAAATTAGTGATTTCCGAACTGACTTAAACATGTTGGAATTGTACATCACTTTGGGCAGTGTGACGGGTGGAACGGCACTTTTCATGTTGCAGATAACTTGCTCATTTAAACACCTGCATTTCTAGGTTTCACATCCCTGGTTTTAGTAACACCTAGATTCACCTACGTCTCTGTGTTATATGAATTCATTTGTTTAGGTAAAAAACACACTTTTAACTTTCATGGTGTACTAATTTTAGGTAGATTTTTGTAATTTGGTTACCGTAGAATAATGCTTACAAAGTTTGCTAATCAGACAAAGTGTAGAAGAAGTTCTTGAGTCTCCCATAACCAACTCCTTCCCTTTATCTTCACACAGCTTCCTTATTATGACTCGGTGCCATCGGATCCAAACTTCTTACAGATGTATAGAGTGGTAGTATTGGGAGAACCCTATGATTCTCCCTGTAACACCTTGGTAGACCTGCCCCTACCAATGCAGGTGTGCCACCTATGCAACCACATTCTGGTGGGTCGAATTGGCGCAACGCTGGAAGCTCACCGCCACCGCCGACACGGGGGCAGCGGGAGGCGGCCCTCCCTGACGATGGAGCGGAGGGGGAGCAGTGATGAAGAGTGGCTGGTGCGGTGGGCGGACGTCATTGCGGAGTGCTGGCACCCTCGTTACACACACCGCCTCTCGGCCCTGCGCGTGCGCAAAACCCTCACAGTCATCGAGGCGACTGTGAGCTGAATCGGACGCTGCGTTGGACACTTTTTATGCTCGGAACCTTGCATCAATGTTCCTCCTTTTTAATGAAATTCCTGGTAAAATATGGTATTAAATGCATACGCACGAAAAATTCTCATACTCTTTTCGGCACTCTCCTTAGGCGAACCGCTGTGACAATTTGAAGATATCACTAAATTATAGCTCTTAGCAAGTTCCGTTTTGGAAACTAATCGGGCGTTAAATCAGGATGTTTGGTAAGAGAATTCCACTTAAGATACCTTGAAGCCATTTTCTATTTGGGAGCTTCGTTGGCAAAGTGTAAATTGCAGAGCGTCTTCACTAGGCTGCGTTCTGTTATGTCCCAGAGGAGATACTTTAACTAGGTTCCGGTTTAATGAAGTCTTTTTGCGGACTAGCCGTGGTTGGCATCGTTTCTTGCGAGTGTGAAGGCCAAAAGACGCAGAGAATGCGCTTGTTGTATCCGCTTGGGTGATTCACGTCGGCGGCCCTGCTTTTTCGTTTGAACACAAATTCAACAAAGCACAGGGTAACAGGCCGGCATGAGTGCTGTCATAATCTAAACCGGAGTCTATATTGATTCAGAAACGAACAGCATCCATCAAGCAGTTATTCCACTTTGTAGCCTACAAAAGTAAGGCATAGTGCCGACCGCTTCACGGAACGGGACATCTCGCCAACTTATAATAACCTTATCTAGTAACACACCTAGTTTCTGGAAGTGTAAAACAAGAAAGTGGTACATCCCTACCATGCGTCCTTGAAGAAAAATATTCACCGGCACAAAGCATTTCCTAGATGGAACGTCTCAATATCGAGGTTCAAAGCAAACACAATGGCGCGCAGACTTCCCACGATACAAGAACTCTCACGTTGAAGAGAATCACAAGTGGCGAGGAAATTGCCACCAACCATGGAGAGGGCAGACCAAATTCGCTCAAACCACAAACTTCACACATTCCCCAGCGCACACTGGGCGCAAAAGTACTCAGGAGGCTAGTGGACTTGGCTTAAGAGTATCTAACCCCCTTTTTCTTCACAAAATCACTTATACACACAACACAAAATACTAATATCAAAGCATGTATTGATGGCCCGATGGTACAAGATATAAGCATCTATTGGAGGCCAAGGGCAGAAAGCAACTCATTGCTTTCGGCCAGTTGGGTAACAATATCCACACCTCCTATTAATTCACCGTTAGCGTACAGTTGTGGATACGTAGGCCAATCGGAGTAGATTTTAAGTCCTGAAATATTTGCAAGTGTCGTAATAATGCAAGTAATATTGCGCACTACTAGCAAAGATAAAGCCAAAAAACTTGTAAGCTGATGCTCAACAGCAAACGTAAATCACCTTCTCGAACAGTTTCATCACTGAGAACATTGAACGAGTCGAATTTAACGTTGTGTTTATGGAGGATTTCAAGCATTCTTCGACTAAATCCACAGCGCGCCTCTTCAGGAGTGCCTTTCATGAATAGCATAATAGGCGCCTTGTTAATCAGAGCTTTGAGTCGAGCATTCAAACTCTCTTGGTCATCGTGTTTATCACGTAGAGACGCAACTGTTTTAGTTAGATCAGCAGCTTTCGCACCTTGAACGCGAGCCACTGATTCACCATCCTGACCAAAAGCAATCCGAAAAATCAATGTACTTCCTTTAAAATATAGTACCGAAGTAATTTGGAATAAAGCGAAAACACTCATTTCGGTGATGTGATTAAAACCCAGTTGCTGGTAAGCGATTTCCAAATGACATAACTAGAACCACACCTTGAAAAATAGAACCACAGGAACAGAAGATACTTCATTTTTCTTGCAGAAGTCTTGCACTTCCTCCGCATTTACCTGAGAGTGAGAAAAAAACCACTTTGAAACATCAGCACCCCTCCCACAAAAACCAATATTGATCAAGGGGTGGGTTGCAAATAGAAGAGGCGAAAAGCGACTGAAATAAGAGGCTAACGAATAACTTGCCATCCCAAACCGAACGCTCCTATTTTCACAATCCTCAGCAAGAGTTTGAAATACCTCAGTTATCTGCTGACATTCAGCAGCCCATGGAGCAAACAAGTATAGAAGCGTAAGTTGCCTAAAGTACATGCACCACTAAAGACGCCCACTTGCAGTCCTTAAGGAAACTGTCTACTTCCTCTTCCGACTTAAGGTGCGACAACGGCATCCGAAACAACCCCGCGCGACAGAAGCTCTTACAAAACGATTTGCTGGCCCACCCCGAACTCGAAGTACTATAACAAAATCTTTCCAAGTAGTACACAATCGCTCATTCCTAGATTTCATTAAAACTACTTGCTGAACATTTAATGATGTAATTTGTAAAAATCGTATTAGTGTGTATTTAGAACGAACATAGGTTCTGATTTCGAGTCAAAGTAAATGACTAAGAGATGATAAATGCGAGCGTGAGAAACGGCTTCGCTCCATTCACACTTTCCAGTGAAAACATCTTGTCCCTAAATGCATCCCGTGCACTTCTAACCGTAAAGAAATAGCAAATAGAGGCATGACTACCTTATGAGCGAACCGTCGTGCTTTTCATCGTTTCTGTTGATCCGGCACACAAATAATCGGCACTTGATTCGCATGCATTTATTTATATTTTACTGACTACGCTACACGCTTCCTTACAGCTTTGTAATGGCCTGATTATATTAGTAGTTTATTTTACGGCCCATCGATCTAAAAGATTTGTATATCGTAGCAGATTCCTTGCTTGTCTCTTTTCCTTGGCCTCCATACTCTTTGAAGGAGCAGACCGGTTATGTAATAGGCAACAGGGTGTAAACAGATTAGGTTTGCTTGTATTTTGAGCTCTCGACTACCTTGGGGAATTTTAACCACCCCTCCTCTCCGATATATGTGTTCCATGTATGCTTTTCGAGTAGTAAGTACAAAAGAAGGAAGTATTTTTTACAGCATGTTGTATTACAGTCACCTTTCGCAGCAGGGGCATAAATGCTTTATTTCGTGAAATAAAATGAATCTATAGACCGTGGGTTCACTGACACTCTTGTTACTAACGTTGAAAGACCTTGTTTGGATTTTTGTCCAATCAAATAGGCGTGATATGTAGCCAATTAGATTAGTTGTCGACTAGAGGCATTGCCGAAGGCTTCTACTATTTTCTCGTTTGTTTTATCGGCGCAAGGTAAATACACTTTTATTATGCGATAATTGGTATATTTATGTATTTAAGTTCCTCCTAGAGCTGTCTTTATCTGTTTTTGTGACATTTTGAATTTGATAAAGCGGTATAGTGACTTCAAACTACTGTATCGAAGTTTGCATCGGAACTATTAAAATAAACTTTACAAAGTGCAGACAGTCGACATATTACGCTTTTGAGGATAGACTGGGTTTGGAAGACTTGGGGATTTGATGCCGTTTGGTCTGCTACAGTTGTGTTTACTCTTCTGTACTTCTTAAATGCGCAAAAGATGCCAAGGCTTCGCATTTGTTTTTATCGTTTCTCTTGTGACGGTATCATTAGTCTTAATTTTGACTGTTTATGCTTGTAAGCGTTGTATTATTTAAAATTTTTTTATAACTAGATGATATGTTTTTGGTGATACTTTCAGAACTTTCGTTGCTCATGCAACTGTGGATGTTGTTTTTTGAAAAGCGTTCTAGGCCTAAATTATGGTACAGTTATTTTTTACGCTTGCTTTCTTTTAGTTAAACCGTGTCTCCCCTATATGTCTGATAACTGGAACCTGAACCTAGCTAATGCGTGCGACCAATGCGTTCAAGTAGTTCCCTCAAACAGAAACGTAAAGCCGATGATAAAGCTTATTTAGTAGACTCTATTATCGACGAACGATACATAAAAAATCAGAAGTATTACAAGGTTCGTTGGCTTGGATTTCCCCCGAATGAAGATAGCTGGGAACCCGAGGCAAATCTAACACGTGTTCGTGAACTAATAAGAGAGTTCCACCTTAAAAACAAATCGCCTTCTACTTCCCGTCAACATTCTTCCACGAAGAAGAGACCTGAAGTGTTCAGTAAAGCACATTCTTCAAAATCTATCCAGGAACCACCTTCTCCAAGTAAGCGCCGAATGACTAAATCTCGAACAGGGCACTTTGAATATGTACCCCAAAGTGAGCTTGTCGCCAAAAAAACCAAGTTTTTCGATGATATTCGTGATGGAAAAATTGACTTAACTTTGAACGACTTATATTCACGGGTGAAGACCAGAAGAAGATGCCGTAATGACATCTCTGGACAAAATGACGATAATTCCCTTAGTCGGCCCTCCAGCCTCACAGAACTGAATGAGTGCAGGGGTGCCCTTCAAACCACGCCCACAAGACACAGTGAACCTCCCACACCGAAAACTTTTGTACACTCTGCTAATGGATCTATGGACGAAGCGAAGTCTGTGATTCCCGACTCAACTTCTAGTCACCTATTCCAATCTCAACTGCATACTTCAAGTAAAAGCGGTTCTAGCATTTCAAAACAAATCTCTCGTCCATTATCCACTTCTCTACGCCACGTCAAACGACAGTATGCTCCTTACGAAAATCGCAGTAAACGAAATATTTCTTTTGGAAGCTGTCATTTTCCTGCATCTAAGACGTCGGTTAAGGATCCAGCAGGAGATTCTTCAATCGGTCTTACAGATGAGGATCCGTCTGATGCATTGGATAAAATTGGGTTCCCATCCAATTCAAAAAAAGTCTTGCTACAGAAAGACCTCGAAGTGCATCCGGAGGCAGTTGCACTATCTGGTGTTCAGGAGTCATTAGAACAGGCAAGCCTTCACCACTTTGGACTACCTTCTTAGATTCTGATCGATGGTAATTGTGCTTTTTTACTTTTAGGCGCAAACAGTAGCAACACCTACCCAGTCGCGTCCAACCGTACCATCTTCGTCTGTACTCATGTCTTTTTACCTGGACTTAACCAATCGTTGTTCTAGTCATTTATCAACAGAGGGAGAGGATCTCCTGTCAGATTTTCCCATAGTTCAGCCACTTGATGAAGGGGTATTGTTGAGATCACAAAAGGACCTTCTGCTTGCCATCAATAATCAACGCTGGACCCTCCTTGCCACTCAGCCTATCGAAAAAATCGCTGCTGATCATACCGGCCCCATGAATGCGATATCGCAACACCCTCTAGTTGCTGCTATTATTGGTGGTGAAGGACGACCATTTCTTCTTAGGCGGTTGCTCCTAGCCGGCAACGACCCAAATTTCATTGACCCCATTTCAAAATGGCCTCTTCTTTTAATTGCTGTGTACTATGGACGTATACAGGCTGCACGAGTTCTTCTTGAATTAGGAGCTCAACCAAATGCTGCAATTCTTGTTGAAGGTAAACGAGTAACTGCTTTGGGAATGGCGATTGTAACGGGGAACATCGATATGGTCTCACTCCTCATCCTCAGTGGTGCAAATCTCTACCAGGTATGAAATGAACTGGGTTGTCTTTTCAGACACCTATTTTGTCTTTTCTATTGTAGGTCAATGATGATGCGAGTGCTGCTCAATTCATTATTCAAATTCTCCAAGCTGTGGCTTCAAAAACCTCCTACGAAGCAACGGTAAAAGCGCCACCGGGTTTCACAACTGATCCAAAAACAATCAGAAGGCAACTTGAAGAACTGCTAAAACCCCCTTCAATCCCAATCATTGAACCTTCAGAGGGCAAGGTTCTTCCTCGTTCTCCTTACGACTTTCTTTCACCTCCATCCTCATCCACAACACCCGCCTCCACTTCCCTCCTGATATCCTTCGATGGTCAAAAGCCACATTTACCGTCTGCTGACTCCCTCCATTGTATGCATAGGCTTGTCAGTTCCTGCCACGCACGCCTCTTTATTGCTCTTGATCGTGTGGTGACTCAGTGGCTGCACAACGTGGGAATGGTTGTTAGCTCAAGGCTGCTGCCAGGACAGTGGATTCATCTAGACGGAAGCTCCTTCACGCTCAACTTCCCAACTCCTCAAAATCCAGCCACTTTCAGTGAAGCATCATCGGTCCTTGTCCTTTTCCTTGTTCACGGGACTGTGACCCCTCCAGGTTGTTACCATGTTTGGCTAGATGACGATGGGCCCTGCCTTGTGAAGCGAGTCCTGCTAGGTGATGTTGAACAGAGGCCCTTGGCACGGCAGTACTTCGTCTCCACTTTGCTCCCGATTGATTATGAGAAAGAGAATCAATGTATTTGTGTCTACTTCTCAAATACAGAGAGGGGTACTTGCATAGCTCCGCTTGTACTTCGCCTTAAGCCTGTAACGGGTCGGCAGCTCCAGAATACAAGCAAGGACATTCAAGAGACTGCCGAAATGCCCCGTCTGAGATCCCTCCCGTCTACTTCCAGCCTACGACCGAGACCGCATTAACCAACCAATACGTGATAATCAGAATATACGCACAATGCTGCCACATTACTGTTCCTATTTCCTCTTCGCTCAGGTCTTTCATTACCAACTAGGATATTCCAACTTAAGGTGTACATTCTCACTCATCCATCGTCGATCAGCTCGCTGTGATAGATCTTACAAGTAACAAATCTCTCGCCCAATTCGACACTGCAGCATCCTACTTTACGACACGTATGAATCGAATTTGCCTTTTTTCACTTTTCTCCCCACCTCTAGCTATGTATTCTCTCCTATTCGTTTTATCTGTCGTTTGTTAGTTTATTCTGTCCCTTATTATTCTTTCCCTCGACATGCTTATTGCTAACTATAGTGCACTGGCACGCTCTGACCCACTTTGTGTTATGTTGATGATATCGCCGAATAAGCGGCTACAATATAACCTGTGATACCTGTACCACCAAGGCTTCTATTTTCAGTTGATCTGATTCGAGTCTCAGTGCTGGGTGATGCTTTGGATATCGTTTATCTAGTACATTTACTACCAATTTCAAATATACATGATGTCTTGGTTTTCGCGCCTGAGTACGCAATTTGCAAGTGAGCATCACGCTTGATTAAAATAAGGGAAAGTAGGTTGGAAGGGAAGAGCACAATAGAGGGCGAGTGGTTTCATACTAATACAAATACAAATCCTAAGCAATAGCGATTAACTTTCATCGGGGCCGGGTTCTGTTTGCAAACGTTTTGGGAGGGCACTTTCGGTCTTAATAAGGAAACATTAACTTGTGGAGGATTTAAAATGAACCGTTTTAAATGATAAAATGAGGCACTGCAGGCGCCTTGAATTGAAACATCAGTCGTGAATCCGCGTTCAAGGCTGCCACTTGATTGCCATGCTCCGAAAGTCCTGACATGAGCCCTGAGTGGATTAGTACAATAACTGGCTACCAAAATCTTAGCCTCTTTTAAAGGCACCGTCTCAAATCTCAACTTATCGGCTGTGTCGTGCTCACATGCCGTATCCCAGGATGACCGATGCCATGACAGTGGTTACGCGATGTTAATTTAGCTGTATTAATACTGCCTAAAAGATGCATCAATTTTTAAGAAGCTACTGGTGAACAGTTGACAACGTGGAAATCGACACGCTGTCAGCGCTCACCGTGTGGGGTTAAAAGAGCTGATTGAAGATTAGAACTAGAGAGAGGTTTTAACTAAACTTTTTGGTCCCTCTACTCAGACCAGACTTGAAGACGTGAACTCGATTTGATTGCTGTTTTTTATTAAAATTCACCTTAATCTTTAAAAAGTACGCGGCGTAGGAAAAATGATGATAGCGGCGCCAATGACCCTTTCATGCAATAAAGATAGTTAAGGTCAACTACAATTATATAATATGATATTTTGAGACGAAAAATCTTGGCATAGTGGAGTGAGTATTAAGGAATATCCTCCGATCCCTAACTGCTCCCAAACTTAACACGACTTATCGACTCTTATTACCTCCTTCTGTTCGGGCATCTTTAAAAGTGCTTAAGGTCTAAACGCACTTTTTAATATTATTTTATGATTTTACATGGGTGCTAGGCGATGGGCAGTGATGGCTCTGGATTAATCAACTACTTATTGATGTTGGTAGCACAATTGTTGATTCTTGGAAGGAACCGCCTCTTCGAGTCAAGCTGGCGCTTATACTAATTACTGCTTTCAAAACGAACATTTCAGGGTCATTAACTTATGCGCATCACGACGCAACTCAGCCATTTCCACTTGTTATGCATATTTAATGGTAAAACCCAAAGATTTACCCCAGTTCAGGCACTTTGAGGATGAATGAGGCCCACAGCCTCCAAACGGATCCCTTTCCACGTAGCACTTCAAACAACAGACATAAAATCTGGATCCTATGGAGATTGTAATGCAAAATTTTGTACAATAACAGGTTTTATTCAAAACCCTTTCCTCTGAATTAAAAAAGGTTCGACAAGATTTTCTTCAAATACATTTGGAGATGTGTTGGGTGTGCCCAGAACATGAGTGGTGGTGGGCCTTTGGTGACCTCGCGTGCTTCTGGGATTTGCTTCTAGCGCCACCCAATTACGCGGTTTAGCGGCACTGTATTGAGGATGCATGCCAAACGCTAACGCCCTATGTACTTCTATCCTACTTGAATTAAAATTCATGTTTGTATTAAGAACATAATTATCCGCTCCACACCTTTGTGTGGGGCTAAGCTATGTAGGCTTAATTCGTAACATAGAATGAACAACTCATTACATGAATATTAAAGGCTAAAGCTCCACCCTGTTTCAACAAAAAATCGCAGAATTTCTGGAAGTAAAATAATGAATTGGTTAGAAAGGAAAAATACTTTTAAAAGAAGTTCTGTAATGCTTTGCTAATATTCATTAACTCTGTCTTTGATTACACGGACACTTGTCCGTTCACTCGGCGGCATGGCCTCTGACCCATGCCAGTAGCCCCATCCCTTCTGTACATCAGTAATACACTATGACTTCTTACGACTTCTGGCAGGCCTCGCAGTGCTCCATTTATGAAACGCTATTAATCTAAAACTTTTTACAAAGAAAATTCCTCTTAGGATTGCATTGAGCTTAATTCTACATCCAAGCAAAGGTATTCACACTGTTGAAAAAATGACTTCACGTCGTGCAAGACATGTTCTGGGGACCAGATTTTGTTTGCATCCTGTAATCCTGCATAGGATGACTAGCCATCTTGGGGAAATTTCGCTGTAATCAATCACCCACGGTGAGATACATGTTTTGAGAGTTTTCGAGAACCAGCGTTTCTTCAGTGTTTACGAAGAATACGCCTGCAATCTGCTAGTGGTTGGCATCAAGGCGAGTTTTACTTTCATTTGCAAAGATGCACTACCTCTTAAGATATTGTATCACTTCAAAGACGGTTTGGTTCCAGACACTAATGCTTCATTCGTGTAGGCAATGTTAGTTTGATCTCTAAAGTAAAGCTTTATTTTGAAGTGACGTGATCAAGTTTTAGTAAAATAAAAAGAGCATTCCATGTTACCTTTCAGCATATTTTAAGGAATGCTTTAAAACATTTATATTGTAGCCCTCCCCCGCCCCCCGAGATAACCCTGAAGACGAAGGACAACATAATGTTCGGGCAGAATGTGTAATGCCAGCGTACGGTAGGGCTCGGGGCAATTGACAAGCCCAGGGCCAGGTCGCTCGGCAAGGAACAAGAGCGGAGCCCCTTGGTGGTTCATTACCAAAACTGGGAGTTAGGCAAACAGCTAAAGCGTTATAATATATTTGATTTTCTATAAATGCTTTTAAAAGCGTGGATTCAAGAGGAATGAATAAAAGTCAGAGGCTAATTAGGATTTGCATAGAATCATTTCTCTGCTCATGGCTGACGTGCATACACTAAGCAACAAAATCAGATTAATGGTTTTCCAACAAAGAATTTTGCAATTTATTTAGTGTTTCACAAAATTCAATTACACCTACCTGTCTACTTCCCCTGTGTTTATCAACGCACTTTATTTGGTAATTATGTATTAGTTAAAAAAATAGTTCCCCTGTAAAATGTGCGTAATCAAATAGGCAGGTTGGAATTTATATCCGACATTAGTCAACTAGATTCAATGCTTTTACTGCTTTAGAGTAAGCCTTGGATACCGATCTCCACACTTTCCACCCTTTGAGCCCACTTGCACGACTCACGAGCGTGTAAATGCTACAAGCCAATTTGACAGACAAGTGGTTTGCTCTATTTTAAGTCAACCTTCGCCGGGCCAATTAAGTGCCCATCGCCTCTGCATTTTAAAAGGCGGTCCCACTGGCTTGAGTGTCAGTTTACCTGCCAGACTTGGAGCTGCAGGTACTTACAAAATGACTGCTCCCAGCTCAACCTCCCCCTTTCGCAACTTGGAGAGACGTGAAAGTTTTTCCAAATACATCCTCGAAACACCCGGCTCTTCCTCCAGTTCTTCCACTTCGTCCTCTTCGTCGTCGTCATCCTCTTCTTCTTCCTTCTTCTTCAAAGGAAGAGCACATATCATCTTGGATGTCAGCGAATTGAAGGAGGGAAGAAAGGACTTGGATGGTCGTCTTACTGGGAAAAAAGATAAAGGACGTGGAAAACCACATGCTCATCATCAAATGCCTGCATCTTCACCTACGCATAAATTGTCCTCATCGTCATCTTCTTCTTCCTCTTCGTCTTCTTCGTCTTCTTCTTCCACTTCTTCATCCTCAAGGGGAATCACGCAAGAGGAGAAGAGGAGCGAATTCGACGGTCCGGTCATTATAATATCATGTGGCAGAAGCCGCCAAATGTCTAAAAATTTATATAGAAGCAAATCAGCTTCTCCTTCCCCGCAGAAACGCCGATCTTTCAGTGGAAGGGTTTCCAGAGGGCGAGCTCGAACTCCCAAAGCGGGACATGCTATGGCCAACTACGGAGTTGAAATCGAAGACAGAAGCCCACGCAGATCTTCGTCACGAAGACAAAGTGTCAAGCCCTCTGCATCTGTAAGGCCTGTAAAATCCAGAAGAGGCGTCAAATCGCCGATCATCTACGAGTTAGTGCCGAATAAGGTGGCTAAAAGGTCTTCAAAGCGTCGACCAAGCAAAGGTCCGAAAGACCAGTCGACCTGCTACGTGTTGATACCGGAGGAGCTTAGGAAAAAAATGGCAGGTAAACCAATAGCATTCGTGGAATTGCAACCTTCTTCGGAAAATGGAAGAAGCAAGTCCAGAAATGGCAAGAATAAGAAATCTGCAGCGCCTCATGTTTAGAAATTGGATCGGATCAAGGTTATAGAATCAATTGAATGCGACTCCCTACCGCAGATAGATAAACAGCATCCACTTGAAACCTTTTAAACTTTTACCATCAACACTGCTTTTGAATTTGTAGACATTTTTACTAGCGTTCTGATTCTTACTCCCTATCAATTTCTAAATTTCTCGCATTCCTTAAGTAGATTTATTCTTTGGTAAATTAAGAGTTAAACAATCATTCACCTTCTAGGCACGTTAGACTGCCGGAAAGCAGCATATCTTATATGAAATATGACAGAGCTGTCCTTAATTCATCTGATTGTTTTAGAGTACCGAGAGATCAGCTTGACCTTAAAGTATCCAAGTTGGATACAAATAGCACAGCGTCTTCTACAAGGCATGAGCAGCCAATCTGGGCTTCCAGGTACAGAATTTTACATCAAAACAAACACCTAGGCTTTTAAAATGATATAGTTCACAATATATTCCGTTGACATAGGCAGCTACTGCTCAAACAAATAAGCAAAGTTCAATTTACTGCCAAAATTATTGTTTCTATTTCTGCAAGCCATTAACTTGGGAAAAATTGGAGCAAAATGATAACAAACTTAGCCCAAAAAAATTATTAAAGAAGTGGAAATCCTGGACAGGAAAGAACAAGGGTATTGCTGAACGTAAGGACTGACAAAGCTATTTTTAGCAATCCTGAACAAACTTCGGTCACTTAAAAGAGGCTTCAGCTGGCATCATAAATGAAAAACGAGTGCTTCCACCGAGGGATTTGTTGAACGCACACAGGTCGCTACCGCAGATGTGACCCTGCGCCTTCTCAACACTTACTGCTTGGCCATGAATGGTCCTCGTGTCACTACGTTACCGATTTGTGAGGGGTCAGTCTTTTCTAGTAGAAAACTGATTAAAAATGCCTCAATAGAAAGGAAAAAGAACTTGAGTTAAATAATCGTAGTGGTCCCAATTTCCTGTGGCAAGCAGGCAAGCTCACAAGACGGCTTGAGGACCGACTCGACCCGCACAAAGCTTGTCACTTCTTTGTGTCTGGACCTGGTGCCGCCTCGAGGAGCGACAACCGTTGTTATTGACTTTAGTGCCATGTAAAGGCTGTGTCACTCCGTACTTGTGTGCGGCTGCCATGATGTGTAATAGTTGTGCAGTTCACGGTTTGTCAACTGACATTTATTGTTTAGCATCTTGAATCATTGCACTCAGATAAGTTTTTGATAAGTAGCTTAGTGAGATGTGCGTTACACTTCAACAACATTACAAGGGAAGAAATGTCCCGACTTTTCTGCTGGTGATAATGCCACTTTTATACGTCGAAATATATTTTACCACAATATTTTAATGTCTGGAGTAGGTTGTGATGAAGGTGGCCTCACTGGCGCCTCATAATTTAGCCTAGTTAGACCTTAGGCCGAAGTATCTTAAAAAAATCCGGATAGCGTAACGACAAATAGACACAATCTTAGCTTACTTGAAAATGGTTGTTACTACGCCTAATTCGCCATGCTGTGGAACTTACAGCGAGCAGTAGGTGAGCCACAGTCTTGATTTATTTTGTTGATAATGTCTTTCCACAGGTGGAATTTGCATCCAGTCGCCAATAAGGTGCTTCCAATACTTATGAGCAGATAATCTGAATTGGCGCATTATGTAGAACATTTGACGGGCCCTGGAATGACTTTAGTGCCGTCTTATTTTTAAGTAAAAGATACAGGTCTGGAGATAAGCTATTTGTCTATCTGCCTGTATGTGAACGTGATTCAAGCTAACTTATTCAATTTGCTGCCCTCTTACACCCGTGTTGGACTGGATCTGTGCGATCACAATACGAAAGCCTGCCCGATGAAGGCAGTTTAAATAGTAAAGCAACTTTGAACGCATTTGAGGTGAGCGATTCATATCATCCTAAAAAGTCCTTCAAAATGCCCTCAAAGGTAGTTTTACTACTATAATTTTAGTTAAGTAGTAGATGTATGCTATGAAAAAAACAAGGAAAATCCTTAATAAGGATTTTAATTGTGGAAAACTTTAGGGCTCATACTTTAAGGGGTGGGTGTGATCATGTACCTGTCAAGGTCATATGCGTCATTCCATATGCCAACTGGATCTCAGGCAGGCAATATTACATGTAGGCATTTTCAAGCTTAAAAATGATTTTCCCATTAATTTAAAGTAATTAACTTGAGGCAATTCGTCTGCTAAAAAACCTTCTTTTAACTTAACAACAATTAGGGCTATTTTAGTTTGTGTTTTGTAGGAGGTTTAAGAATATAGGCAATAATTTTATGCTAAAATAACTTAAGAAATATAAATACAAAAATTCGTGATTCGTACATGTGTCGCATTGTGGAAGCGTTGGGCGTAAAATAAAGCACAGGAAGTGGTACTTTCATATTCGACTTCCCACTAGGTGACAGCTTCAAATGCGCATCATCGCTTTCGTGCGTACAGGGTCCATTTAACGCTGCTAAGAGGAGAAAAGAGCACTCCAGTAAATGAAAGCTAATTTGATTTGCGAGTAAAATTGCTATTCATCCGAGGCCATTAAAAAGCATTTGAAAAATTGCTTGAGAAGATAATATCATTCGCCCGACTAATAACAGCAATTGTCATTTCATTCGACTTTTCTGTTAGATGCAGAGGGACACTTGGGATGAAACCCGCAGAATTGTGGCAGCTCTATAACCTTACAATACGCAATAGAAGGAATCACTGCGTGTGCAATGAGACTCCGATCTGTATGTCTGTAGGTATGCGTATATGAATTCATTTATTTTGAAAAAGAACATAGCACAAGGAAAGTTCCTGCATGAATCTAAATATATGGGTATTTTATTTACGAATTTCACCAAATAAATGATGCAGTAAAATTAAAGAAATACCGAATGGGGTTAGTGAGGCTTCAACATTAAAGAAACACGTATTACTTCATACATAACTGTTAAAACTCAAAGCGATCTTGCACGAAGTTCTTGAATTCAAAACACTTCTTGATCAGAAATATATGAATATGTAGACATGATATTTCAGTCAAAATGAAAAGGTGGAAAAGACACTTCGAAACTCTAGTGGGAGGGGAAGCAAGGATGTTCCGTGGAGCGAAACCAACCAGCGCGTCTTGCTAATGTAAAAGAAAAACAGTTTCGCTCTAACTAACAACCGAGAATCTGTTAATAAGAGGTTCTAAAACCTCTGAGAAAGGCTCCGCTCTATCGTAGTACAAAAGATAGGCAGTACAGAATTCATCATTCCTTAATGAATGCGCATTTAATTGTCCTTAATTAGCATAGTTCCTGAGAACGTTTAGACAGAATTACTTAGTATTTTATCACGGGAGCAGATGCCTGTGAAAAGAATACGCTGTTACCGAACATTAATATAAATGACACTATGAAGGCAACGATATTACTGGTGCTTTAAACTCTCAAGAGAAGTAAAGGAACTCGTGAGTAATTCTTCACATCATTCCGGTGGATTTCGGTTGAGCAAATGTGTGACCACCATATCTGTCGAAGAGCCGGATCACATCACTATTATTTTAGAGACGCCACCAAGGGTAAGGATGAGGCATGTATTGTAAAGGGTTAAGGTGACACTTCAAGCACCGACGACAGCTTTTCAGAATGTGAGGATCATTTGCATCAAATGCCATCACCTCGGGAATTACGTCACCGACACAGACATGAAGGATGTGGAAACTGCACCAGCTATATGCGATTCTGTTCTGAAGGCCCGTGTACTAACTGCTGTGGTAAAATGCAGGGTCAAAAGTCTCAAAATCGACACGAAAGCACACTTCTGCTGCACCTTCCTCAGTCCAGCAGTGTTAAGATGATATCATCAGACGATATGAAGACGGTAATTCTACCCTCGGGGACCATCTATTCACATCGTGCGCACCCTCCTGCAGATGCATCAAGGTGTGTAAAGCATCAAGGAAAACATGGTCCACACAGAAGACAGCACTGACAAGAAAGAATTCAAGTGGAACTGTTTGATCGCTCAAATACCAAATAAAGACCCAAAGGTTTTTAAAATATACATGCTTGTCGTGGTTGAAATATACGGATCGTAACTGTGCGTTGCTTTCAGTGCAAATGAGCAATAAAGCGAAAACTTAGAGCTCAGCGTTTGTACCTTTTTTACTAAGTGTAATTTGTTTCTATTTTTAATTGCTTTATCTCGAAATTAAGCGAATGGTGAATGTGCATTTGCGGAAATCGTCGACTCATTGAACGTAGCCCATGAACTAAAAGCACAGTTTCGGTGTTTGATGCAGCCTCAATATCCATTTTTTAGCAACTCGGTGAGGAGAAATCGAAGCTAGAAGAAAACAAAATAGGCGGAAAGGAAGGCAAAATGCTGTTTCCGAATTCCTATTAAAACATCTTTTCGTTCGCCAGCATAAATTAACCTAAGTCTAATATGTCGCCGATTTCTCTTGTTTCTCAGGCAAAGTATGTTAGATGTGTAATAAGTCATACTTTGGGTTTCACAAAATACTCCTTTTGAGGTAAAAATCGCCTTTAAGGCTAGTTTATTGCTTCTAAAACAAGTACCCAAAAGATTATTAGCCAGAGTTAACGAATCTAAACGATAGATTGCCACTGATTGGTAAGCATTCGTGGCCTTATTGCCCCGACACTTTCCTAAAGACGAAAGAAGACATTACACGGGGCAGTGTATGTATTATGGACGCAAAGGAGGATTGGAGGGTCTACTGGCGCGGGTCGGAGGCCATGTCGGCGGAGAAAAGTTCAATGACCGTGTCCTTCAGTACCCGCATAATCAAAACGAGGAGTTAAACAAACTACTAGAGCATTGCAGTGTCACTCATTATAGTAGTGAACGATACAACCTCAAAGTTTGCAGAATATTGCAATACTAATTTTTAAACTAACTTAGAGCAATAATAATTGACTCTGTGGATTGGAAATGCAAAATGGGGCACGATAAGCCGATGGGAGCATGACCGGTGATCTCCGTTAAAAGAATTAAGCCTTGTTTTATTACTAAGCTAATTCAAGACAATATAAGGGTTTACCAAACACTTTGTGAGAAAAAGGTAGTTTACCTGAGTTGCTTATGTCTTACAGTTTGGGTTCTGTAGACTAGCTCACGTTTCCATCAACAAGGAACATTCTATTTTATTTAACAATTCGAAGCAAAAAAGTATCACCAAGCCTGACCGTTGAAGTAGGAGATTCATCGTCACACCAAATTTAACCTAGGCAATCATGAGTTTCTTGCGTGTCGCCAGATGTAGAGTGAAAATTCTTGTGCCCTGTGTAACACCGCGGCAAAGGTGGGGTGCGTGAAAGCTTACCTAAAACATTCAAGACTAATAGATTCAAAAAAATCCAAGGTTACTGGTAATCCTTTCTGCTTCTGGCCTAAAACGCAACTCCAAACCACGAAGACCTAGTAAAATTTAATTTGTTTAATTTTTTTCTCATTCCCAGACTGTCTACGAAACAACCGTAGTTGTGTATTCTGTGGAAAAAAATAATAATAGATAATTAAGATAAATTGCAAATTTAGCAGTAACTATCTCTCTCCTAAAAACACGTAAAAATCGTGATTTTTAGCTTTATTGCGCTTTTAATTGGGCTAAGCGGATAGTGAACCAGCAACAGAAAGAACTAATCTGCCCTATTATATCAACAGGGCGGAGGGAGCTATAGGACGTATCAATTGAGGCAAATGACTAAATATAGCATGTGTCTTTCTAGACAGATAATGTAGTGGGACTGGGAAGTGAGTGAAAAATGGTGGCCGTTGCTTCACTCGCCGAGGCTTTATGATTGGGCATTCATCTGCTTCGGTGTCAAGGTAGCTTCTCTCTCACACACACACACTTACACATACCCAGCTCGATTGGCTATTAAAAGTAAATTACTTGGCAGTTGATGAGCTAGAGCACCTGCGATCGTCACGCACATAGGCAAGGTAATGAGCGTCGGTGACTCTCGAATCATCCATCTCTCAAATTCGCGTAGAGAATCTTCATCCGCTATCTACGAGCTACTCGACGACACTGAGTCTAGCACCAGTTCCTCCAGCGAAGACGATTATTGGGTCGCACTCTCTTTCCATCATGCTGAACAACCGGAAAAGCATAAACCAAAGACAAAGGCCAAGGCACATGCGATGAATGATTCAAAAGAAATAAAGAAAAGAAGTGTGTACTTTGTGTTGGAGGAAGATCGTCATTCTCTAGTGTCGCGGCAAACACACCACAGGTCTCACAAAAGTCACAAAAAATTGCCAAGGAAAGAGAAATTGGATGATTCTTCAAGGTACAGTCTTGTCGCTACCTCACAAAAGATCACACCCCAACCAGTGAAACTTCTCCACAAATACAAAAGATACAATTCTGAGTCGGAACCTATTATTCTCCCAATCCAACGGAAAATGCGATCAACTCATTGTGAGGGTGTGTACGAAGGCACCCGGCCCAGGAGGAGTGTTTCAGCCGTTCCTATGGATAAAAAGCCATCGCATTCGAGAAGAAGGCGCAGCTCGGAAGTTGTAAGGTCTGTTGACATGTCTGGCAGTAGCAGTCGGCTGGGCCACAAAGCATACAGTGTAAATCAAGATGCCAACATGCAGGAGCTTGCCATCGATATGCCAGACCGATCGAGCAGCATGAAAAACTTCAATAAAAAACCCCAAGCCGGATGTGGAATAGCAATTTTGAAGCGTTATTAAGATTACATTACCGCCCTTTTATCTCTCTATATCAAGTAGGTGCTAACGTTTAAGGCTGCAAATCCTTATATTTTTTGGAAAATATATAAATTTCCATATTAGCAAGACCGATTTTCGTTGTTACCAAACCTGATAGAAATGTAAATTTGGATTTTTTCTAACATTTACCGTGAATACTGCGATTGCATAATGGCCAATGAACTAATACATTGAACTTACGGGGTCTTCGTTTAAGCTGAGTCTAACCAATACCCTATCATAACAGTTAGAATAGAATGCGATGAAAAAGGAGCACCTTTTGCTGTCTCGATATGCTGTGATTTTGCTTTTAGTTTACCCATAAACAGTCAGGGAAGACATCTGGCCAGTGTTTCCTGAATGCATGGCGTTCAGGCATTAATGTGTTTTAAGTATAGTTATTAGCTGACACATTTTAGTAGAATGTATGGACGATCGTGATAAGGGGGAAACCATTATATGCTAATTGTATCATTAAGTGTGCAATATTTTGGTTCGATGATAAAAATGTGCTGGTGTATCTGTGATAGTTCAAATATTGCCATTAAATCACGGCTACCACGACACGTTTTAAGGAGGTTGGAGGTATGCATTAGTATACACTTTTCGAATCATAACTGGTGAAAACTGACGCCATCTTATTAAAAGGTGGGAGCGTTTGAGGCAAAAAAAGTCATAAATAGTGGCTCTGTTACGCGTCATGAACCCTAAGATAGGCGGCACAAGACAAATGTTTTACAATCGTTTCGCATCTCGTTCAAAATTTGAAATAGCAGTTTAATGAAGGAGAATTAAAAACCCCAAAACCATTCCGAGAATTTCAAGACAATTTTAAGTCTTTAGAGCCTCTTTGGGTCCTCACAACGGTAACGGCTAATGAATCACCAAAAACTGGTTTTTGGGTGAAGGTATCGCCAAGGCCGCTTTTCATGAGAACCTAGAAAATATACCGCTGTGAGCTCTTAAAATAATTGGTAGAAGTATAATTGCATTAAATTTCCATTTAAAGACGAAGCAGAATTTACTACGTTTAAGGAAAATTGTCACAGCCATCAAGAAGAAAAATTTGGCAATCGTAGCGGTGTTTCGTTTCAGCTCAACAGATACCGCGGACTTGTCACTTGGGAGTACCGGAGATATTTAGAAAAGCGAAGCCTTCCCAATTCTGTACCACTGAACTCGCCTGTATTATTTCCTACCATTTACGGGTTTCACAGCCCATCCTTACCTCCAATTTTATTCAAGAGGTTTAAATGATAGATTTTGCATCTCTTCCTCAGTTTCATCAAGCCTTCATACTTCCTTCCTAAACATAAGTCAGAGTTGTGAGGTTATCAAAATAAATGGATGCCTTACCATATTTGTCGTAGCTATTAAGATTGACACACAGATTATTTAAGAATAGAGTAATTCAGACAGTAAATAGTGTGAAGGCTATCAGTTCACTTTCGGTCATTAGGATTAAACAACACTTTTTGTGGCTGGCATTTTTAAAGTAATAGTCTAGTTTCTTCAATTATAAGTCGTATTTCGGTAAAGTGACTTCTTTTTCAAAATTCAACAGGGCATAGTGTGGCGCTTAGAGCCATTCCTGAGGAGGAAAGAAGGCGATGACATTATGGCAGAATATGTATTGCCCACATCCAGAAGGGCTGGAAGCGACTGGCCTGGCTGGGATACTATGCCGCCTAGCGCGAACCAAAAGGAAGAGTTAAAAAAATAATCAAAGTATTACACATACGCAAAAAGCCTTTTATATACACAAATTCAAATTCCTGTAACAACAGATACACAATGTAATTAAAGAGGCGTGTGCATTGATTCCGGCTGTTTATTTCCAAGGTGTATTTATGATCCTTTAATTTGCGGTTGTAATATTACAGAACCTATTCATTTTATTGTAGGTTCATTTGAGCAAAACGTACATTTTAGATTTAGAAATTTGCAGGTAAAAGCATGTTCGATGCAGGCACTTTACGGCACACAAAGGTGGTTCATAGCTATGCTAGTTTAAAAAAAAACAACTCTAAAAGTATAAAGCCTTCAATGTTCAAAACACATATAACTATTCACCCATGCGATGAGTCACATTGTTGCATCATTTTCCGTCGCCGTTTGCATGGTGACTTGCCACCTTTTTGTGCATTCACCGAGGTGCTGCCTCGGGATTGGCTGTGCCATGCTTCGAGCAGCACTGGCCGGGCTGCTTACTTTGCGGCGCGCGATTGGCTGGATGCACTCCGCTACCTCCGCTGCGCAGCCCAACAATCGGCTGCTTCATTACTCATGATGCCTCTACTTCGTAGGAAGTTAATGAGATCCCCTTCTGTCCAGAAGGGTACTAACAGCGGTAAAGAAGTCGATATCCTGAGGAGTATCCAGATGCGTGGCATCGGATTAAGCGGACCCTGTAAGACACCCGATTTTGTGCCCGCTTCCATCTACCTCCGAGGGCAAAAATCAGACCAGGATATCGGGTTAGAAGACACAACGATGACAGACTCTCTGCTTGATTTTTCAACAGCACCGGCGTCAGCACCGTCGTCTCCAATCCGCATACCCAACGGCGGGACACATCTGGTTGATTTTGAAGTCAAATTACGAAGAGGGAGGAAGGGTCTTGGACTCCGATTAGTTGGAGGAGCAGAGGAAGGCACCCAGGTAAAAATGATTACATAATTTTGAAAACCTTTTATAAATCAAGTACTGTTTCGATATTCTTTTTCTTAATAAAATCTTGGAAATCCGGACTATTGCAAAATTGGATTAGAAAATTGAAAGGACCTGCATCAATTCCGACGTGAGTCAGAAGTGTAGCTAATTAGTGAAGCTTCAAGTACTTATTCTAACTTAAAGGCATGAGATCTTGCCGATGCACTGTAAGTAAAAGTGTTTTGGCGCCAGTTCTTGTATCACATGCTTGCTCTCAGTAAATTGGCGCGGTAGCAATTAGCCTGACAACTCTACACCTCTTTTACAGCGTGTATGCACTTGCATCCAAGGTCCTTTTGTTGCAGGCACCGATCTTTCCGCTCACACCTACTCAACTCAATTAGCAACGTTACATTGTCAAATAAGTTTCACAAACCATGCCTAATCTCTGAACTGAGGTCTTTAAAAATCTTTTCAGTTATTGAAACTAAGACTTTCCCCCAGCAAATAGCAGCATTATTAATTTCCCCTGCAAACTGCAAAGACCGTTCTACCTGCGTTTATTAACACTATCCCACACCCGTTTTATTTCGCCCTCGGACCTAATTTGTGCTAAAAGTTGGCCATTAGGAACTTACCCATTAAGTCAACTCAGAAACTGGATATGGGCGGATCCCCAGGCCCCAAGGGCGCAGTTGAGTCACTAGGCTAATGGTGACGCAGAATTTACCCTCTGGAGCACAGAGGATGACAGAGAAATTAAGGAGCGCATTTACAATACAAATACACAATCCTTTATTCTTTGGCAGTTGTGCAATGACATTTGCAGTTGGGGGAGGTTTGCTATTATACTCAGCGTCATAAAATTGTTAGTTTATAACAAACATGAAAAATGTTTACACCCAAAATGTAAACGACTGCTCAAACGAGAGCTCCCATCATCAAAATTATATGAACTTCGGCTCATCGAATTCTGTTTGATGCACAAATGGGATGTATGACTTACATAAATCACAATTGATGTGTCCGTTCTGCTAGAATATGTGTTACTGGTCAGCTAGCAGCTGTCTTCCCCACATCATAGCGAAACTAATGCACACCAATGATTAAATCTGCCAAAAGGCACAATGGCAAGGAATGGTAGCAATAATTTAGTGCTACAAGTTCTAAGGCCCAGACAACTAACACACATCATGCACTAATTGATACAGAATAAGTTTTATTACGTGATATTAATTAGTCAGAAATTGATTTGACATAGCGACGGGATTACAAAAATCCGCAGTTCATTAGGCCATCACACCCGTTTCTAACAGCAGAACTGACCTCTGTATTCTACCGGACATTACCACGTATTTTTACTTCCTTGTTTGTATTACAATTAATCTACGCAAAAATAAATTCCATATTTTTGCTTATTTTTCTTTTAGGCTATAAAAGCCACTAATTGCTAATGTATTCACACAAAGCCAAAATAAAGATTTACATCTGAAATCGCTGATTGGCTGGAAGTTGAGGTCAGATCACGGGTACACACGCTTCTCATTGGAGCATTTCCTCTTAGTAATCAATGCCAGTTTTCTCTTTGGAATCATCTTTAGCCCACTTTAAGACATAGACTGGCCGTTGTGAGAAGATTTATTGTGAAAAGAACAAATTTAAGGTTGCTGCTTGAGTGTAGATTCTGGCAATGACCCAAAACAGGGTAACCTAGCCTTGGGTCTGCGAGCGTTCATTGCTGACGTGGTGATTTTGGCAAGCAGTATCACATTACTGACTCATTTGAAGACAGCGCTGGTGGAGCTGTTCGTATTGAGGTCCACTGCCGAGATAATTAGAAAAATAGCGAGTGATGACTAGTTCTTTGAGTTGAGGCAGGGTCCCTTTCATCAGGCATAATAAGGAGAGATTATCTCGTGAGCTTAAACTAGGATGAGCACATCTGAGATCCTACTAATGTGAGCCATTTAGACAATGTAGGCGAGAAAAATAAAGACGGTAGGATATGAACCTATTTTGATTATACTACTGAGCCGCAAATCACTAAAAAGTGGGGGAAGGAAATTTCATCAGTAGTTTGCAAGCAGGCATCTCGTAAATTCAAAACCGCGCTTCTTTTTAAAAGAGGGTCTAATTGCTAAGTGGACAAGAAGGCGTTGTTGCTCGGTAATGTCTTCGCTGTCAAAAACAGTAGTTGAAAAATTTCCTAATTGGTTAAAGTTTTTTTTCTTTGCATACAGCATAATTCCAAGTTTTAAAACTGTGAGGCAGTGTGAATATCCGCTTGGTAAGTGTTTTCTTGACTTACTAGACCTTTTCCTGCCGTTGAATAGACACCTCCAAGAGCAAATAGGACGCCATTGTAATGTCACCCATACATGCGACTTGCTTAATTGTTTTTAGGCTCTAACATCAGCACCTCAAATGTCACAACCATGCACTGGTTCATGGTATCTTCAACATTATAGAGTTGGCATAGTCACCTTAACCGTCACGAAAAGTATAATTTCCTACGATTTATAGCACATACGCATGAAAGGACTTTGGGTTGGTGTGACATACACGAAAAGTATCCGATGAATTGGTTTCCCTTGGTGTTTGAAGCGTTTTTTAAGCACTGAACAGCTTCCGCAAGCTCAAGTGACAGGGACAATAATCTGAAGGAGTGGAGTTTTCTACAGCTCAAGATTTTTGCTCATTTGGGACTGTGACGCATGATGCTTTACTTCACAACTATCTTACTTCTTTCACCGGAAACGGGTAAACCGCTAGCCATCGTTTTATGAGCTAGTATGAGCTTATACCCAACTGATTCGTCAGGATTATAGGAACCTTCATAGTAGACGTTTATAATCACTATCACGCACGAACTTAATGCCGATCCAAGTGCCAATTTTTTTTCAGACAATCCGATATTAAGCATACCCTTTTGGGATATATTTATTATTCCAACTTCCGTGGCACGCATGCTTACCTGCCTAACTTAAAATACCCAAGTGACACCAACTGACACCTCGACAGCAAGCGTGTTGACCTCCTTTGAGAGTTTAGGAATTTGTTTAACTACACAATGTCTGATTTGAGGTAATTTTTCTTAAAAAACTGGTTTGTTTTTACCCCACTCTTAAATTCGCAGTTGAAGTTTGAACCTTCACTTTGTAGACTTGAGATTATCATTATCATTATCAACCCGAATTCACAAAATAAAACGCTTTTTAGTTGACACTGACTTTAAATTGGGGCTTTAGTAGTTTCATTAAAGGGGTCATTGTTTAAGGCTGTGGCCCTCCTCAATGCATTTCCCTGCCGCTATTGGCTGCATCGGTTGGAACCTTTCTAGCTTTAGAAATTCACCAGTCGCATTTGTGAGAATTCTCTTTAGGAGTTGGGATGAGCTTTTTCAACTACTCCAGTCAATCAGTTAAAACCATAGAGCTAAGGATTTGAGGAAACGTATCTCAAAAAATGCAAGGTAGTTTAGAGAAGTTCAAAGGCATCTGTATTTGCTTTTTAACAAACAGTAAGGTGTAATTCCTAAAAAACATGTTGTGTTTTTTGAATCTGAAATGTTTCTACTACCTTATCATGCATAAAATTAGGTCTTGTTTGGACTGAAGTGTTAGGTGATAAGATTTAGAGCCGGTAAGTTGCAAGACTTGTTTAAGGCTGGCAAAGACGCTGTTTGAATAATTAGTGGAATCGCTTTGATTCAATGGAAGCCCACTTAAGTAAATTAACGAAACATTAAGAAAGTATGATTCATTGTCTCCTCAAGGGCATACTCAAGATTTTTAACCATCCAACGATATATTCGTGTGGCTTGGTTAATGCACCGTGCTATCAATAGCGAAATTACACTTGATGTGGGTTGAGATCGAGAGTTCGTAATCCCATAGTCAATTTTTGAATGGATATTGACGTCAATGTTTGCCTCCCCGATTGCCATAGGTGCATGTAGGAGCTATCACCCCGGGTGGACCAGCAGAACTCAGCGGTCAAATTTTTCCCGGAGATCAGCTAGTCGCCATCAATGGAGTTTCCGTTCTTGGAGCCACTCATACTGGCGTTGTCCACCTTCTCAACGTCACCTCTCGCAGTCCTTCGGGAAATTTTCCCTCCAACACCACAATCACTCTCTCTTTTCGGGGTTATCGATCTAACCCGACCTCATTTGGCAATGGCTCCTCCATGGAACACATTGACTCAATTCAGGCTTACTCACCCCTCCGTCAATACTCTTTTAGGCGGTCTTGTAGTGAAGATTCCTCTATCAACTTATGTGAGTATGTGCAAAAGCCTATTCCATGTTTGGCCTTCTTGTAGGTGCACATGAGTGCCGTCAAATATGGCATTTATTGGGAGAAAATAGGGTGGACCGGGATTAACTTAGGTGGTTTTGCCGTCACAATAAAATGGTTTTGAAACGTTTCAGCATCTTCAATTCTATCAAGTGGACAAAATTCACCCTTTCACCGATCCCTTGGTACCACCCCCAAACCGGGCACAGCGTCTACGATTTACAAAGTTCAGCTTCAAAGAAGAGCCAACGAGAGCTTTGGGTTTGCTATTAATTGCTCCCTGAGCCCCAAGAGAGGATGGCATATTGGTAAGTTAAATAAAACCAGCTTTCTGGAAGTGTGAAAGCTAAAAGAAGCACGAACTAGTGAGTAATGACCCATTAAATGGAATGATTATGCTGGAGTTTCGGGGAATACGTATTTCTAAAGTACTGGGTACTCCTAGGAGTAATTCTAAGTAGATAACTGCATGTCCCTTACATACTTAGCCTGTACTCAGCGTGTCAACGTTATGAGGAGTTAGATTTGGCTATCACTTAATTACTAGCCAACTAATCTTACTTCCAGCCAAAAGTAAACAATAACAAGCCTTTTGGCTGGTCAGAAATTGTTTCACAATGATAATGAAATCCTAGAAAAGTCGAAAGTCCTGCGAAACTTGCAATCAGAGACAGCGGAAAAAAATGACAGTTTAAAAGCTACCAACTAACCGCATCTACTGACCATATTACGGCACCGCAACCGTCATGGCGTAGCATCAGAATTCGCTTCGAACATTGTTTCCGGGACGGCTGAGGCCATGCCCTCTAAACCAACTCATACTATCACGCCAGCGCAAATACGACTACAAAACCATTTTATTTATAACATAATGCACCGTTAAAATTGTTATCCGTGGAATTTTGTCGTAACTTAATTAATCTTCTTGTAGTCTGCTAAGTCTCTTAGCAGTTCAGGACCTTTTAATTTTATGCTCATCACAAAGGATGCCACCGTGGTAGTACTGGAATGAGTAGCAAGTGGCAAGTTGGTCCCATCAATGATTGTCGACACAGATGCATATTGGTCTAGGCGCCATTAATTAGGATGCCAGGCGACAGGAGTTTGCTTTTTACGCCACGGATATCATTCAAAGGCTTACAGCTGTTTGATGATGGGACAATTAGCAGGAGTATGTTGTTAATCAGCGTAAAAGTTCCGAAGACAGCTTTTGATCTGTCATTAAACATCCCTGCCATGATGGTTTCTATCTCACAGCAGTAATTTGTAAATGTTCAGTTTGTATGACACCTAATAATGGACAACCAAGGCACGATCTTGCTTGAAATTGTACAACAGCATGATTTTTTAGGGAAAAGCTGAACACAATCTATAGCAAACTTTTATAGTCATGTAACGTTGACATACACTGGAGGCAAGCTATCCTTAGGTGGTTCTATGGCACTGATAAATCTTTAACAAAAGCATTCCAGCTATTATTTAAATGAGTTGATAAGTGCGCAACCTAGCAGATAACAATTAAAGGAACTTGATTAATTTCCCATTCCTTAAAGGCCTTTTTCCCCATAGACGGAAAAATTCCAGTTTAATAACAACATTCTACGCAATACTCAATTTCTGAGATTCGTTGCTTTTTTTTCATTGACAAGGTGCAATTACCCCGGGTGGACCAGCCGACAGGAGTAAGCAGTTGCACGTTGGTGACAAAATCACCGAAATGAACGGATATCCGTTGGCGCTGCAGTCACACGCCGATGTGGTGGAACAGCTCTGCACAAAGCACCACCGTCTGGAGCTTATAGTGGAGCGACAACAAGCTAGAAAAGTATTCCAAATTCCCGGTAGTTACTGATCAAGATCGAATCTTGTTTTGGTTAAATCTTCTTCTCAATGACCATGTAAAAGTACTCGTTTCATCTGGAAACGGTTTTATTCTCAGTCATAACAGCCAATGCATTATTTTAAGAGCTATTTATAGGTAAAAAGGCGCTCATCTTAAATAGTATTCCTTCAGTAAATAACGAGTTGTATTTAACCATTAGAGGTGAATAGACTCAGCTCATATAAATTATTATAAAGGGCTTGGTAGCCAAAAAGAAAAAAGTTCGGGAGATTTTACAGTTTTACATTAAACATAAAGGAACTAGAACCTCATTAACTATTTCATTGGATTTAGTTTTGGTTGCACTCTGCATTTTCTGTTAGCCGAGGAGGCCGATATATGCCAAAAGTCTGCATGGTGGGCGACTTACTGTTATCATATTTTACTAGTTCTAGATGCCAATGATAATACTATGCTAGCTAGATGGTCAGAAAGCCGATCAAACGAGCGTCGAAAGCAACAACAACCAAGCTTTCTTGAACCCGTACCAGAAGCTCTTGATTCTTCCTGGAATTCTCGAACTGTAGGTCTAATTAGTTTCTACTGATGTCGGCATAAGTAGCCTTTTTAAAATGACAAACAAAAATTACAAATTTATTCCCAAATTTCATCCAAATACTTTTTATTGCAAATTCGGTTGGTCAAATAGCTTAGAATGTGTGAAACCTTGCTTGGAAAAATTAATTGCTCCAAATGAACGACCTGAACTTAAAAAATAATGGTGTTTGTGCGAAGCGCTTTAAGAAAATGTCCACTGAGAATAGCCCCTTTTGCTAATCCAGCAACTCTCCAGAACCCAGACTAAAGAATATCCATGAAGACTTCTATGTGGATTTTTAGAAAGTCCTTACATGTACAGAAGTCTGGTCACTACATTTGTGAATGTTTATGACCTGTTCACCTCAGGTTTCGGCTTGCATGGTATAAGCATGTACTTGAAATTAAGGTCAAATACAATTCTATGAAATTGTTATCATTGCAGCCTTCCCCACTAAGCTGCAATTTAAAAGAATCAGGATGCTACGCCGTGGATTTGACAGCGGATGAGCGAGGATTTGGTTTTTCTTTGCGCATGAGTCAGGGCCTTCACCGAGGCACTATGACCATACTGCATATTGAGAAAGGAGGTCCCGCATTTCGTGACGGGAAAATGCAGGTGAATCTTATTGTAACACGCTTTACCGCTAATTTTTTCTATTACCTAATTTTGCTCTATCAATTAGTTAGTCGGTCTATCTGTCTGTCAATCAATCCATCCATCCACCCACCCACCCATCCACCTATATTATCCATCTGTGTACGCTTTCTCACAGAATTATTCATTTCTCACTCTTCTGTGCCTAGTAGATCTATTCATTTGGCCTTTTAGTATTTTAACCCATGTTATTCCAAATATTGCGAGTTTTGTTTTAGGTTGGTGATGAAGTTCTGGAGATAAACGGGACTCCAACAGAATCCCTGACATACACACAGGCGGCTAAAGTAGTCAAATATGGTGGAGAACATATTCATCTAAAATTGCAGCGTGTGAACACACGCATCTACGACCTGTCTGTTTGACTCGAATTTACAAGCAACCAAACTGTACATATTACATTAAATTAGTATAGGCGACTTTTACATTGGTCTTTTCTGTTCCTCAATCCTAAACAATACGTTTAATCTTACGTTAACTAAAATCCTATCACAGGGTTTCGTATCCGCATTGAATGTAAAAGAAGTCATGGCTGAGAAGTGATCCAATGTGATAGGTATTGTACCGAGATTTCTCTACTTTTATGTCTGAAGGCTCGTGTTAATTGCAAAATTTAGCACCATTGACAACCCCTTAGCCTTAAACAACCGTGGAAGTCGAATCACCGGAAACCAAAAGTACTTAAATAATAACACTACGATGCAGTGGCATACAGCATGACGCCACACAGACCTCAATGTTTCAAATTGTCATACCGTTGTATTGGTAAAAAGGAGAAGGTTGATTCTAAAATTGTTATCCGAGAAACTGGCCAATTCTCATTTTAACAAGGAGCCTTCAACGCATGCTTAGTAGTCAATATTACTAGTTAGGGTTTGGTGATGCTTCGTAAGAAGCAAGTTTAGTGCGCCGATTACTTTTCGTGGCAATCTAACTTAAAAATGACTTCAATTTAACTAATAATAGCGACAATTCTCAGGGGCTTTCATCCTGACCTCGATCTTCCCTTTCATTGCCATTTTAATCATCTTCACCTCCTGATATAGAAGATGTTCCACATTTTTGTATTCCATTCATCAATCACCATTTAAGGGATGTTTTCTTTACTAAGGAGAATCTAGCTCATTAATTTGTTGCTAACTACGGTGATGAATGCTTCTAAAGTGGATGGTATGCAAAATTAGGCACCGCATTCTGTGCTATTCGGCTGTCACAATTTATTCAAACATACCTAAAGGATGCGTTGTAGAATTTCACACTTGCGTTAAACCTTGCAAATATGGTTATGGAAAAGACGTCTAGGCACATTTGGCATTGCTAAAGCAATGACAAGTAAAGAGATCTTCAGAAAGAGGGAGAATTCGCCATCATGGAATGTCAACGACTAGAATCCGCATGTGACCTACGATGTCATAGGCGATCTTGTCGCATAGGTCCAAATTTCTTCCTCTTCGAAAGTAATGCTAGTCTGTAAAACCACTCTACTGCTACCACCACAGTCCACTTCATACTAATTCGCAAAGCCTAAAGAGTAGCTATTATTACAAAAGCCTTAGATACATACTTATGTAAGCAGAGGTGAAAGAGATAAACGCCAAATCCGTCACAATTATTTGATACTTATGACAGTTTGCTTGAATAAGCGGGCTCATGATCCTTCACAGGTTGTGCCTCAGCTCTATGGTGCGGCCCATGGTCATGCTAATAGTCTCCAAGCTCCTCCGCATGCTAGTAATGCGCGTTCTTCCATACCACTGCCTTATTACGAAATCAGGAAGGACGTGAGGCGCTGTGAACAGTAGGGATGAAGTCATCCCAGCTGTAGGCGAGATTTGAAAATGAGATTTAAGGCCATTAATGTCGATGTTTTGACAAATGCGAAGTCAATGCGATATTGTATTACCCCAAGACTTCCCTAAAGATGAAAAAAGACAATACTCGAGCATTATATATATATTCTGCACAGAGAAGGTATTTAGGCCACAGGCATGGCCCGAAGGCCATCCCACCCGGGGTTGTACAAGGCAAAGTTGAAAGCAACTCCTCGCCAATACTGAGAGATAAACAACCATCGTATTACAATATCATCAACTACTTATGCTTAATAAGAGGCAAGAAGGAGAACCGAGCGGCCAACGCTAGCCTGTGCATTACCGTCAGGTGCCATGGCCCTGAGATTTCCCTCCTGTTTGCATATTGTTACGATGATGCACGAATAATAAATTACTTACTGTTCTATTCGTACTTGTCAGTTGGGGACTACTAGGAATAACATAAGTCAAAAATGTTGAACTTAGCTGCCCAAAAATTATTAATTTTAAAGCAGGAAATTCTTGGGAAAATAATTACTTAATTTTTAAGAATCGACATTTTTGACACTAACTGTTTTGTTTAAATTTGTTGTTCCGGTGAGCATTTTTCATACTTACAAGGTTCAACTCTGTTCGTTTAAATTCGCCCTGCGTTTTGTGTGTGGGTTAGCTACTGTGTTTCCCACATTGCTTACCTTAAAGGGCAGGAAAATGGAAGGGTCTATTCGTCCGAATGGGAGTGAAGTAAGTGCCAAAAAGTTGTTAACTCAAGTTTCCTGTGTCAAAAATATGGTTATGGTCGAAAGTGGACTGACACCTTGTGACTTATTAAATCAACCCCACATTTGTGAACTACATTTTTCATGGGATTAATATTCGTAGGCGTATGTCACGCACCGTAGTTTTATATATTTGTGCAACTTTCTTGGCAGTCTGCTGTTTGATTATATTTGATTAATGACCACCCAGTCTTAAGTGTGTCGTTTCTATCGTCCTACGTCTCTGTTATGGGTTATAGACTTTGTAGAAAAGGTCACCATGAAACAGCGGCATGCATGTGTTTGTCCATTATCGAGTACTCCGAATCAGCTACCAAGTTTTTGCTTTCGTTGTTGATTTGTCATCAACCACGAGAAATGTGGCTTGCTGGGTATAACCTTTGGATCCTGACTTTAGGCCGTTTGGACTTTACATTACTTTTATCCTCAGGACATCCTCAGATGTGGGCGATGTCATAGACTATGTAGGAGTGTGAAAGAGAGAATTTTGCACGCCCAGCTGGCCCATAAAATCGATCGGATGCCGTACCCCTGCTTAGAATGTGGAATCGCTGGCTATCAAAGCCGAAGTCGTCTCCGAAATCATATGCATAATAAATGTCCGGGGCAAGGCTGGGAAACCCGTTTTGAAGCCAATGGTGATATCCGAATGAGTAAGCACCTTATTAATAAGATCGTTCTAAGCAATTTCGAAAATATCGACAACTAGTTCTAGCCTAATTGTTTCATGCTCCTCGGTTTCAGAATCGTTGATCTTTTTCCTAGGTGTCATTTTATTGGCAAAATAGTTCTTTCTGGTACTGTCTGATTGTGACTGTTTATTAGAATTAGAGGTGGATTTGCCCCAAGGCAGATGCTCTCGAAGAACCTCCATTCAAGTGGGAGAAGCTATGTTGAAGGTGGCTTCAAATTTCGATCCCTTGTCAAATGGCAAGGTCCAGAGAAGGACTTCTACGTCCACGCCTTCAGGAGGTATTCTTGTCATTTTTGTCTCATTTTCTTTTCTTGTGTCTATGAAATAATTTTGTGCCTTTAGATCAGAATCCTCAATTGAGCAAACTTCGTCGTTCTTCGTTGCGCTATGCTCAATCGGAAGACCTGACCAACGGTAATGCTTGGATGTTAGTTACACTGATTTCTGTTTCTGATCATCCAAGATACTATTTAGCCGTTTCGTTATAGATCAACACGAGATTTATGAAGGTTTCTCTTCAAAACTTTTCTCTAAAGAAGAAACTTCTGTCAATCCTCCTTCCGAGGTGTCGTCATCCCATGAGTCTCTCCCGATTAGTGTTCGCATGTCAACAAGAATGCGGACGATGACATCTTCTGAGCAGAAACGAATGAAGGACGCGGAAAATTCTAGTCTGGTTCCTCTTGGTCAATTGAGTGTTAAGATGCTTAAAGGTGGAACCAAACGTTCGCCTAAATCGGGAAGGAAGGATGCGTTGAGTAATTTGGTAATTTCAAGTGGAAACAGGTCGTTGACTGCCTCAATGGAATTGAAAAAAAAATCGACTTCCCTTAAAAACGCAAAATTGGATTCTGCGCGTAGCCCAAAAAAATTTCGTCCGATCGCTATCAAGGCCGCTGAATCTACGGTTGGTGCATCTGGGAATTCGCGTGCTTTGGTCGAACTTACAACTGGTCCTGGGTCCTTGAATACGTCATATACTCCCCGAAAGTCCAGTAAATTACATGCGGACCCCAGTAAGTCTCGTAAATCTACTACTAATGCATCAAAACAATTACCTCATTCACATGACTCTTCAATCAATCATGCATCATTGAATGTTTCTCTGGACTCAAAAAAATCGCGCTCGAATGTTGATGTGAGGAGTGAGTCTGTAGAAAGAAAAAGGGAGGGATCCGCAAAATTGAAAACGAATAGCTCGGTTATTCATCGCAGGATAAACCAAATTCGTGCATGCAAGAAAGTGGTTCCAAACGATTTGTCTGTGAATAAGGATATCCCGTTTGGGAACGCCGCTCATCATGCGAATTTTACGGAGTCAGTTTCCCACAAATTTGTTGGAAATGTGTCCCGTAGCGGTACTGACAATCAATCATCAACTGAGCAAAGTGGTACTTTTCGTAAAGTGGAAAAGGAAATCTCGACTGCAGGAACTGCGGGAGTTTTTTCTTCAAATGCTTCGCCTTCACTGGAGTTGCTGGAACAGTTGACCAAAAGGTCATCGAGAAAATTGGCGGCGGAGTTAAGTAACACTGACTGCAAGAAGCGTAATAAAGCCGCAAATTTGGGGAGTGATTCAATTGCCCTAAGAAATCAGCCATCCGCGTTGAAAAGTTTTGTTGTCATTGGAGGGAAGAAGGGCCTCGGCGCATCATCCTCATCTCAAACTACGGTCATGCTTGCCAATAATCAAAGAGAGACCCTCAAGTCAGTTAGAGTTTCTAAATCGTCCCTTCCTACACTTTTGAAAGCGTTGGTCAAGGTGGAAACGATAACAGATAAGTCGAAGATTAACAGTAATTCCGGGATTACGTCTACGGAAGGGGTGGTGAAGTCTATCGAAATAAAGTCGGATGAGCTCACGTCCGAGCCGAAATCTTCCACGAATGAAATCGTTCTCAATGATGATGTAGAGGCGGTGTCTGCAATGCGGAATCGGTGCGATGTTGCTCAGACGAGCAAATCAGATTTATCTGAAGCATCTGCAGACGACAAACGTCTGGAATTGATGCTCTTGCAGGAAGCCTTGGGGGTGGATGAGATGTCGAGGTTGCCGAAACGTTCGACGCCTGTTAAACCTACTGGGTCCACTACCGGTGGGTCACTGATATTATTGCACTCCTTATCGCAGCATGATTTGTGTGGGATTTGTGTTTTTACATTTACCTTTGTAGAAACTTGTGTTAAAAGTACGGAGTGGATGGGGGTGTCAACGGCAGGAAAGCTAAACGATGGTTCACACACTGCTTCATTGAAATCATCCCCCAAGTCCCCAGTTGCTAGTTCGAGGGGCTCTCCTAGCAAATGTATGCTTTTTCAAAATTATTATTTTAGCTGTGTTTTCGACTTGTCTTAGCTGGCACAGCGCTAATTTAGGACTCCATGTCTGCGTGATGTACAGGTTCGCCTTAGTTCCCTCCACCCTAATGCTGTGCTTTTAAGGTTAATGATAGTTTTGGAGGTTTACTAGGATTAGCGATGACAATGCGTGCCATTTCCACAACACCGTGTCAAATATTGAAGCTGTCTGCACCATGGAAAATTTTGATTTCATGCTAGTGTTATTAGCTTGTATTTACAATGAATCACAAAAGGTGGTAAAATTGAGTCTCCTATCGATTCATCTCAGTAAAATATAACACCTGGTCTGTGTATTCCATGAATCGCTCCTTTTAGAGCACAAGCGTTTTTGAATTTGAAAAATGGGTAAGTCTGGATGGAAATAATCATGTGCTCTTTTAACATACAGAGCATTAATAATCAGTTTTTCTCTCGAATAGGTAAAATGAAGCTAAAAAGGAGCGTTTGTCATCTGGTAGTTCATCCCACCTTTTGCTTATCTCGTTTCTAAATTTCTATTTCCACTTTTTTGTCGTTAAATGTGCTCTTAGATCGGGTTTGCATATGATGCAAACCATTTTATCGGTGATAACTTTTTGCTTTGATAGGTTTGTGTCATTTGTAGGGATATGAGCAAGCTAAACCAGTTTTGGTCTGGTGTTTTCATTTAGATATGACTCGACAGTTTCGGGAAATTAAATGCTTAGTCTTTTGGGATCTGTTCTGGATTACGTAGCTGCAGCTCACAGTTTTGCTTGAACTGTGATATTCCTCTTGTGCTACAATTCATGCTTAAACCTAATCACTTTTTGGGATTTAATGATCCCTAAATCTACGTAGCTCTGTTGACAATCAGTAATGCCTACACTGGCATAAGAGTAAAGTCAAGCCTCGTATTATTCTTCGCAGCCAAGAATTCGGCGTTGAAGCCGACGTCAACCACAGCTGGTGCAGTGGCTACGCCAGCGTCGATTACTGCATCGACCAGCACGGTATCAATCGTCACCACTACAACTTCACCGGCGGGAAAGGTAGCTCTCGTGGACTGGGACTGCTTCATTGCCAAAGACCCACGCAAAGCGCGCTGCAACAGTGTCAGTATTACCAACCCTGCTACCGCTGCCACTCATTATTCCACCAAATCGCCACCCCATCCCTCCATCAAATCGATCACAACCACGAACCGCAGTCCCAAGAGTCCTACCTTCCAAACTACCGAACGTCGTCCTCCTTACCAGCCAAAAAAAAGTCCCGCTGATGAGGTTGGTGTGATCTTGCTCATAACTGGCAGCGTGATGCCTGATAGAAAGGTTTCAGCGTTTTTTTGTGCTCTTAGTCAATGCTAAATATTATCTGATTTGGTAATTTCGGCTACAATTTTTTACAACTTGCCATTGCACATTTTCATCGTATTTTTACTCCTTTGAAAGAAGCACCAATTGCCTAATAATGAGGGGAATTGTTTGATTTTCCCGACCTCCTTGACTCGTGGCGTAGTAGGTCTTGCAAAGCAGTTGCTTAAGTGAAACGAACTAGTGGATGCCATTTAGTTTATTTTTTATCATGATTTGGGTAGAGTCGCGCGTCTTTTAGTGGGAATTAGCTCGACACCATTCATCCAGCACCCGTAGAATTTTCATGATTAGCGTCATACTATGTGGCGCCCCGATTGTCTTCTTTAAGCTCACACGTCACAAATGTATGACATGTTTAAGGTAAAATGAATTGAAGCGGAGGGGAAGAACGGAATGGATACAAAATGTACCATGTCAGAACAATAAAAGAAACCTTGGGTACGGTGGCTGCTTTTTCTTTGAGATTTTGGTAGCAAGTGCCAAGAACTGGTATGTCCACACCTACCAAACAGTAGTTTCAAATTCTACATTGTGCCCAAGCGAAGCGGTCAGACCTTTATTTTACTTATTCATTTTTACAATTCCGAAATGGACTGACTTCATCTTGGAATAGTGCGATCGCGTTGTCCTACTTGTGTGGCCATCTTAATCTGGCCACTGATGCCTTTGGAGCCGTGGCAACCGGCCAGTACCTAATGTATTGTTATTGCGGTTGTACTTCTACTGATTATTGTTGAGTAAAACTAAAAAATCTTTGTAGGACTCAACGTCACTCTCGAGCAAGAGGCAGGTCACTGGCGATGTTAGTTCTGACAACTGTCGCCCATGTCGGGCTCTTTTCTGCAACCCTTCCACCCTTGAATCGGTGCAATTATTTGCTGAGGAAAGAAGTGCAGAATGTGCGACGACCTCGAAGCTTAGTAAAGAGTTTTCTCCAAAACTTGATTCTACCTCATTGCTGGATTCATCTCCTCCGACAAATGGCGATGGGAAGGTATCTCTAGCTTTTCATGGCCAACTCGTTTAATTCCTTATGCCTTCAAGCTGTGATATTTTCCCTTTTAGCTTGTTGAACCCAAGGCCTCTGATATTACTACTCGTTCTTCAAGCGGCATGAGTGATAGAGTATGCGGTAAAGGAAATGAGACTGCAGCTAAAAATCTGGTTTCATCTCTTCCCGTTCATGATAACAGCGATTCCAATTCAGTGAGTGGTCATTTGCTTAGAACGTTTCTTCTAGTGAACTCGCTAAGCATTACTATTTGCTGGTCTTTAGGAAGCGACTGCTCCGGCCGTTAATAATAGTCAGGATCTACTAATTTCTCCTATTGACAATCGTGACGTTGAGAGCAATCAAACGCTTCGGAAACGCTTACGGCCACGCAAATCTATTGACTACTTTGAGTCAGCGAAAAGGGTAAACAAAAAGGTGAAGATGGAGGAGGTGGAGAACAAACTGGTTTCGAATGACGAGGATACGAAGCTGAATGGAGCTTGGAAAGACGAAGATGATGAGGAGGAGGTGAATCAGGAAAAGAATAAAAGGAAGGGTAAACACATGACCACGCACTGTTGCCCGGTCTGTCGGCTGACCGGATTCGCAACGTTGGCGGAGCTTAAGGTGCATCGAAAGATCTCGTGCCGAAGGAAGTTAAAACCGAGACGTTTAAATGAACACAGTATTGTGTGGTACTGTCCTGGCTGTCCGACAACGCAGGGCCCCTTTGAATCGGCTGCGGCTCTGCTCAAGCATTTGCCCACCTGCCGAACAAAGAAATTGGGCGGTGGAAGGGTCAAGGCCAACCATCCCGCACTTTCCATCGGTCCCCTCTGCCCGTCTACCCTCTTTGGTCCCTCCACCACTTTCGGATGCTCTATCTGCGGTGTCATTGTCGCCTCCGAGTCGCGGTTGGATCAGCACCGTAGGGATGAGCACAATTATTAAAACCTGCTTCTGGGTCCTCACACACACGGGTGAACCAAATCTGTATATATATATGTATAGGAGTTTGTTTTTTCTGCTATAAACACGCGCAAAGTTCGCGTGTGCATGAATGTTTTGATGAGGCAGCTGTTTGTATTTACAACTTTTTAAAATTTTTGCATTGTTTTGTGGGAGGTTATTAAAGATGTCAGTAGCGTTGCTTCATCCGTTTTCGCTTAGTTTGGGCGTTCCAGACGAATACGGAGTTTTAGTCTGCGTTGTATTGAAGTTATAGAAATTTTAGTGTGGGAATCCTATTTCAAGCTTGAAAAATGCCCCTGATTTCCCGATTAGGGCTTTGGTTGACACTCTCACTGCAAATTGGTTGATTGTGTCTATCATGGAAAATAATGTGAGGGCCGGGGTAGATCATGTTTAGTTTTTAATTAAGAAAAAAATGATGAGGTAGGGGAAAAGGAGATGGATTTCTTAACTTTGTCAGGCGGAAGTGACATTTCAGGATGCTGAAAACTGTTACTTTTGCGTTGACATTGGATGTTTCCTCATTAGTGGGTGAGTTAAAAGTCTCCCCAAACTGTTCGCGTTGACTTGAAAAGCAACTCCGCAGCTCAAGCTTGCTACTTGAGGAGTGGCTGACTACGGTTTCCAAACATGTTCTGCCATGTCCCAGAAGAGACACTGTCTGGCACTTAATCAAGGCGATCCCTGCACCATCAGCGTAGACTTTTATGGCAGTGAAGGGAGCTGGGCCTCCATTGTGGTCTCTGCATTCTTTGTGCTCAAGATTGTAAGGTCATCGACATTTATCAAAGGGTGATCAATGCAAAGCCCCCTCATCACTTTTTGCCCAACATCTTTCTGATGGACACTATTCCACCATAGTCGACTGATTAGCCTAGCGGTGGGGCTCACCTTGTCGACCTGCTTCAAATCGAGGAGAAATTGCGTCATGAGTAGCTTGGAATAGGCCCGTTTGCTTCCACCACTTCTCAAAATCACATTCCGGTCTTCCACGTTACCCACTTCCAGAACCCAGCTTATCAAGACTGAAATCTCAACTCATCCTCGGTAGACCATGAGTTACCATAGTTGCATTTACCTCTTGCAGGCCCAATTCCTGATGTAACTCATTCGTAATCGGTAATTTGAAAAATTGCCTTTTGAGATTAGTGCGAATAGAATGGTAAACATGGCGTGCCTGAATCCACCGACTTCGTAATTAAAACGATAGGGAAGGAAATGCTCTTTCATAAATATTTGTTCCCATGTACGATTCTTTGTGAATTCCGACATCGACATGTTGTGCATCGCGAAATCCCCTCCCCTTGTGGACTTGAAAAAAAAGTTTTAAAATCTAAAAATGGTGCTTAGTTACCCAAACCACTGAAACCCTCCTCCATTCTCATGGAAGGGTAATAATGCCTACCTCATTACAGAGTATTTGATTTTGCTTGAGCATTAAATCAGTAAAGCAGGAAGTTTCCGTAGCGTAAACCTTGCAAATCATTTTAACTAACATCTAGCTTATCCTTGCCTTCACTGGTGGTAAAACATCCTGTCCAACGTGTCGAGTATTTGCCTTAGCATCCTTCAGTAGATGGATCGCTAGATGGACACCCTTATGTTTATGGCCTACCGACGGGATGGGGCACTTTGACGATCACAATCCAATGTCGCACATACATTAGCATTACCATCACTACTGTTTGAAATGCAGGTGTAGGGGACGCAGTGATCCATACCGAACGCTGCGTGGTTGAAAGTGGTCCTAACTTGTTGAGGTTAAGGTCTGTTTATTCCTCATTATTAATAATTAAGATGGCTTTAACGTGCCTTCATGCGTTAACTTTGCTTCTACTCTGGTGTTACTATATGCTACTACGTAGCCAAAGTATTGACGGTTCTGCCAGTCCTAGCTTTAAGTTTCTTGAAGTGACTTGAGCTTGACAGTCTACTTGGCCACCAACTATGTCAGTCGGGGCAATCGGAGACTGTTCACGGGACCTGCATTTGAGGCGATCGTATACAGTTGTAGATCGTAAGTAGCTCGCATTACTATTGGATTACCAATGAATTTTACCCCCAAACTTTAATCAGATATCCGCCGTTAACCCAGAGCAATCTCCTCCTCCATCCGGATCAAAAATTCAAGGAAAGAATCCGGGAGATTCTTTTCATTGCTGTTGGTTTTCTACTTACTGACGCGCTTTTTTTCACTCACCAGTAGGTTTTGTGTCCTTTTTGGTGAATTCATTTCGTTGAGTACATTCAAAAGAAAAAAATAATAATAACTGTGGTTTTGATTTTAGACTTAATTATTTACCAATCTGGTAAACTTAGAAATCAGCGTCGAGTTGACTGTCGTGCTTCCAAACAGAATAATCATGAGACAGGGACTCTAATACGAAATCCCATTTTCCAAATCCTATGAGGAAGTCGAGGGCACGCCGTGTGGTTACGTGACTATCGGTTGATTGTCGAAGTCGCGAGATGATTGCATTTTTGGTAAATTTATAAAGTTTTGATTACCTTTTCCCTCACAGTGACTACTAGCACACTTAAGGTTCCTCTGTTCGTGATGTTGACCAATTAGGAGGATAAAAAAAGGGCCCATGTTGCGATCCTTTCTATAGTGTTCGGGAATTGGTCACGGAAATGCAAACACCCCGAGAATCGAATCATGATGAACTCTGCCGCTAGGTTACACTCGCTGCGCCAACCAGGACTACCCCGCCAAATCTAATGGATAACCTTTTGAGCTACATTTAAGTTCCTGAAGAGGCGACACCCAAAGGGGGGCATTCATGTTTCCGTCGAATTGTTTCAGGTGAAGCGAATAAAAGCTTACATCCCTAAGATCTACAATTAGCAAGAGATATCCTTAACTGAGGCGCATCATCCTTTGGCGATGTTTGTCTGCGCCTACTAATTTGTCTCCACAAACCTGCTGGCGGGTGAAAAGCACGGTCAGCTGTAATTGGATAACCAAAAATTCGGTTTTCTCTTTTCCACTTAATCGACAAATTGGCTACGCTTCACGAAAACTGACGTTACACAAAGGAGGTAAATTCAAATTTCTCGTGTTTGACTTCTTCGAAACGTGATATTTTGTTAAAGCATACTTTAAAAATTGACGTTGGGTATGCCATAATGATATAAAACAATAACTGAAATTAAGCTATTTTGTAATTATTCGAAATTTTTTCCGAAAACGCTCAAGGTAAAGACATTTATAAGTCCACTGTCCACGACCAGGTATGGTATACATAGTTCAAATCCTTTTACTTCACTTTTAGTGTAGTGGAGATGGTCTGGCTAACTGCTATTGTTATTACGCCTAATACAACGCAAAAGAACTCAGACTTTAAACTCCGTCTTGCACGGTGGAAATGTGTAATTCAAATGGTTATTCGTGGAACACGTGAAAAATCAGTGAGGTAGTTTGAATCCACTAGTCCGTAATAATGTTATAAAACCATTCGATCAATTCGCAAACAAAATTAATGTCACCCACTTTTACTGAAGAATGGTCCAGCGATAACTTCATTTTATTTTCATTTATGTAATCTCATCAAAAAGCATATCTACGTACGGAAGTGTATTAGCTCCGCACCAAATGTTTGGGCCAGCTACTAAAGTGGCACGCGACTGATGGGTTTGGGGGAGGGAAGTTAAGAAGTGGGATAGTGGAAAGGACTTTCGCCTGTTTTTCGTAATACCACACAATAAAGAGATGCTGTATTATCCAGTGCATATTTAAGCCTATACGCTTACTAATATTAAATCCCATCTTCATTTCATGTTACTCTCCTCATGCATTCTTTACGTAATCGTTTCAGAGCGATAAAGACCTTTTCACATCTGAATGATACACATTTATGAAGGTTTGATCAGAAATTAAGGGAAGGTTACTTTGTTAAAGGGAAAGGATGTATTTCTATGCTTCCTTAAGGGAAACGTGATTGTCTCATCAAATAAAACAAAAATCTACCTGGACCTGACGCAAAAAAGGATGTTGAAAATAGTTTGCAGTATTTTCTAGAAATTAGGATTTCCCCTTTGCGCAACCATTCTAAGCTTTGGCAAAGTGTAAGAAGCCTTAATGAAAAGTGGGTAATGCTTTTTATGGTCTTCTTTCTACCCACGGCTACCTAAAAACCGTCCCCTCTTCCGTTCATCAATCACAACATAAAATTATTTCTCATCTAGCCTCCTTATAAAATTTAATTAATAAAACCCCACAGTTCCCAAAAGCAAATTTTAATTATTCCGATAATTTATCAACAGGTTTTATACACTCTGCTAATTTGGTTTGATCGTGATTTTGACGCTCCTATTTTTCTATTAAGCACGACGCCTCGCACTTAGGCATCTTGGAGGGTATTGAGAGTGAAGCATCAAAGTTTAAGGCGATGCTGCAGAAGGAAGTGGAGTGAGGAGGACATAGTAATGCAGCAGTCTTATGCGACCCAATGCCTTTTCGTACTGCCAAATTGCGAGTAATTTTTTTGCCGATGGAGGGAGTGACGCTGAGGACGAAATTATGCTGTTGTTGTTGTTGTTGTTTGTGGAGAAAGTGCGTGTTACGTTAAATTTTATCTTGACATTAATGATTGTTGCTGTGCAATTTTGAACCCATTGAGGAGTGATGTAGAGATGTGCTCTCCTGCTCTGTTTCACTACACACACTCTCCCACTTGGGAGATAAAAGTGTAACGGAAAAAAAAACAATGTTTCCCGATAAAATCGTAGAAGTGTAATTTTGTCAACTCTCGAACGGAAAAAATTGTAACTTTAGTTAAGTCAAAAATTTGTTGTCTTTTAAAGATGTTTAACTAAGTGATGCGTGCCAATGAAAAATGTGAAAGAAGGATTTTGACTTATCTAAATATACATTAAAGGAAAAAGTCCTACTTCTGTGCAGTCAGGACCTGCAAACTGGATTAAATAATGATCCATCGACCAATTATTTCTTTCAAACCGGACTTCATTTGGAGAAGTTAACCAAAATTTGGGGTTCTACAGGCAGAATACGAAATACAACTTCCTCTCCAGGTGTTATTTAGGTCAGAATAGACGGGAGATGGCGAATATACCATTGTTTGACGATATCGCTAGGCGTGTATCACAGACAAATTAAGGCGATACAAAATGATACGGTATTTGATTTCAAAACGAAGAAAATCGACTCGGATGAATACTACTTTCGTAAAATCTTCCATTACATAGATTGCGTTTTCAAATGCACTAAGTTGACATGACGCTTTTTTGACGGTACAACATAGAGGG